ATGAAAGGGAACACAATAAGATCAACATTCTAGGCATTACTGTGCTGAGATGGACTGGCATTGACCATTCTGAATCAGATAATCAATCTCTGAACTCTAGAGTTGGAGGAGTTTTGAAATGCCACGAACTGAAAGAACAAATAAATGATGTATCTCAGAGAAGTGCAGTCAGGCTGCTCTTTAGAAACAAGGATAGTTAAACTTCATCTCATGTACTTTGGATATGTTGTCAGGAAGAGCTAGTTCTGTGGGAGGAAAATATGCTGAGAAGTCAGTGAAAACGAGGAAGACTCTGATACAGTGACAACAACAATGGGAGTGAAGATGGTACAATATGGCTCAGATCTAGTGTTCTGTTCTCAAGGTCATGTGTCACAGTGTACTCAAGGGCTACCCACAACAGCATGAAGGCATTATGTCACTGTCACTTGATCAGAATCCACTGCTGACCCTCCAGCAGGTTTTCTGAGGTTATGGGAGGCATTTTTCAGAGGCATGGTAGGATCCCCTCTTTCCTACTCAGAGGAACTGGTAGACTTGCCTTTGGGTTGGTCACTAAACAACTCCTTCACCAGCCCTTCATCTTGATCATTAAGTGTTGTTAGGTGACATCAAATCAACCATGACCCACAGTGACACTCTGATCAGATCTGTTCTGCCTTTTCATCCTTATCACTTGATATATCTAGAGATCTAAAATTTTAAGGCTGAGATTTTTTACATAAGCCTCTAAGTAAAAAATACTAATTCCAAAAGAAGTTAAGTTGCCCACAATCTCAGAGTTCACAACAAAGAATTTTATGTAACTAGAAATGGATCCTTTGATTGTTGTTAGGTGTCAATGACTTTATAATTATCCCTACTTACAAAACACAGGTCATTCTTCTACCATCCTTACAATTCTTGCTCATTTAAGTCAATGAATTTCAGGGAGAATTTTTTTCTCATCCTACTTTACCAAGCATAACGTCTTTCTCCTTAGATTGGTCTCTCCTGATAACATGTCCAAAACACATTTTAGAGTCCAACCATTGTCATTTCCAAGGAGCATGCTAGCTGTACTACTTCCAAATAAAAACAATTTTTCAGGCAGTGTGTGGTTTATGAAATATTCTTTGTCAACAGTATAGTTAAAAAGTTTTTTTTTTTTTGGTCTACTCTAGTTACTGTCCAGCTTTTGCACATGTAAATGAGGCAACTGAAACTACTTTGGGCTTAGTTATCAAGGTGACAACTATTAACACTTTAAAGAGCTGTATTCTGCAGACTTGTCCAATGTAACAAACTGATTTCTAGGCTCTTGCTTCCATAAGCATTGACTGTGGTTATAAATAAAAGGAACTCCTGAAAAGTTTAATATTTTCATTTATGATGTATGATTCTGCAAGATATCTTGTTTTATGTTGCAGTATAATCAAGTGAAAGCTGTAATCTTTGATTTTCATCAGTAAATACTTTAAACCCTCTTGATTTTCCACAAACAATCCTGGTGCTGCATTCTTCTTCATTTAATCAAGCTTCTCAGATCTGCTCAGCACATAAATTGAATTGCGATGAAAAGATACAACCATGACATCTTTCTTGACTTTAAACCTCTTAGTAGACCCCTTGTTCTGGTCAATCCACTGCTTCTCGATATATATATATATATAAAATTTCTTAGCAACACAATTAAGTTTTCTAGAATGCTCATTCTTGGCAATGTCATCCATAATTTGTTATGATTTCTATATCCAAATGCCTTTGCACAGTTAACTAAGCAAATGTAAACAGATATTCTCTGACTTCAGCCAAGGTTCATTTGCTATTTTCAATGACTCCTCTTTATCCCACACCCTCTTATGAATCTTTGGGCAGTGTTCTGTTGATGAACCTCTGCAATGGTTTTTTTAATTAGTAGGTCAAAATCTCTTTGGATTCCGCAATGAAGAAAATAAGAGTTTTTCTTTCTATTGGCTGCATTTTATTTGTTTCCTTTAGTAACAAAGTAAAATGCTTGTACACATTATCCAGTTGCCATGGAGTCAATTCCAACTCAAGGAGACCCCATGTGAGTCAAACCAGAACTGTTCCATTCGATTTTCAATGGCTGACTTTATAGGGAAGCAGATCAGCAGACTTTTTTTCCCCAAACACCTTTGAGTAAATGCCAGTTTCCAATGTTTCCCATGTGAACTATATTATGGGCTTTGCAATTATTAGATATTTCTAATGTTAATTAACTTGTCATCAAGATCCATCAGATACCCAATGTTTTAAAAATTGCAAGGTTAAAAAAAAAAGTTATGTACACCTAAATAGAAGTAAAAACTTAGAGGGAAAAAAACCCCACACCTACACTGAAAATACATGGGATAATGTTAAAAATACTTGACTTCAAATGTTATTTTAATTAAATGTCATAATAAACACTTAATTGTCTGTAATAAACACTGCACTTTCAACCCAAAGACTTGTCAGTTAACTGGATGGTTAAAGTGGATGACAAAGAAAAAAAATCTTAGAAATGTTAATAAATATATCTTAATAATGCCAAATTACTTAAGTCTTTTACTATTTCTAAATATATTTCTTACAGTGTTCATCAACTTTCAGAAATAGATCAATATAGTCATTTTCTGGGAATGAACTGATCACCCAAGCAATGCTTAGATTCATCAATACACAACAAACTGGTAGATAGTCCTCATCAAGTTCAACCTTTCTACATGTTGTTGTTATGTGCCGTCGAGTTGTTTGGGACTCATAGCGACCCTATGTACAACAGCCCTAAACCATGCTCTATCCTGTGCCAATCTCATTGCCTCTGACACTGAATCAATCCACCTCATAGAGGGTCTTCCCCTCCTCCGCTGTCCCTCTACTCTACCGAGCAGGATGTCCCTTTCTAAAGACCTGTCTCTCCTTACAACATGTCCAAAGTATGTCAGACGAAGCCCCAGAATCCTTGCCTCCAAGGAGGAGCCTGGTTTGATCCTCTCTACGATGAATCTGTTTTTCTTGGCAGTCCATGGTACATTCAATACTCTTCTCCAGCACCACAGCTCAAAGGCGTCAATTCTCCTTCTATCCTCCCTAGTCATGGTCCAACTCTCTGATGCATAACAAGTGATTGCAAAAACCATGGCCTGTATCAGGCACACCTTAGTCTCCAGAGAGACACTGTTGCTCTTGAGTATTTTGGAGAGGTCCCTAACCGAAGACTTTCCCACTGCAATATTTTTTTTTATTTCCTGGTTACCGGTGCCAAGAGTGTTGACCATGGAGCCAAACAAACTGAAGCTGTGAACAATCTCAATCTCTTCGCCATCCATCCTGATGCCACCGATTGGTCATAAAATATAAACATTTTTGCTTTACTATAATGTAAGAAAGACACTTATGTTAGTGATTTTGAATAATTAAAATTGTATCATTATATGAAGTGTGACCTTCTGAATGAAAGTGGATGCAATTTGAATGGTTTTTAGTAATTATAATGACTGAATAAAACTGAAAGAGAAAAAAAATCAGACCACATAACCTAAACAGGTAAAAGTGATGAATGTATATACACAAACATTTGAACCAAATTTCAATAACCAATACACAGCAAAGCAGTATTTTTTAAACTCTGATTCTTCCAATAAACTAATCTTAAAAATAGAACTAGAATAAATCTAAACTTTCAAAACAAACTTCCAAAAAGACACATCACCAAAATCTTCAGTGTTACGAAACTGAGTTTTTAGAGCTCTATATACACTTAAAAAAAAAAAAAAAATTTAAAAAATCTCCTTACAGAGCAGAACTTCAAATGGTATTTGGCTTTAAAGTCACAGACCTAAAACTCTCTTGGCCATTATGGATCTCTTCTAAGAAACAGAAATTTCCTCCTTGTCCTTAGCCACAATTCTAACGGGAAATTTCGGCCTTTCTTTGGAAATGCACTGGACTTCTAACAACAGTCCCAGAGAATAAGACTCAGTACCAAAGTAATACATTTTTCTTGGTTTTGTTGTGTTTTGATTTAAAAAAAAATAGAATGCTTATTTTTGAGGGAAGAGAAGCAGGAATAATAATATAAAAGTCACTGTAGCGGGGGAAAAAAGAAACCAATAGCTCTGTGATAAAAAGTAACAATTCTTCAACATGCAAGTTAACCAAGAATTTAGAACTGACCAAGCAGATCCCCTGGAAGAGAATCTCTTAAGATATTCACGGGCCTCAAGTTAGCAAACCTCTACTCTCTGTTATGAACCATTTACTCGGGTTACTTTTCCGTTTCACGTTCGGCAATTCACTCCTTAGGCAGTGATTTTGGATGTAAGGCGGAAACCCCGAGTTCCATCAGGGGGGTTAACTTGTTAAGGGAAAAAGTGACCGAGATGCTGGCGGAGAAAACCTCCAAGCCAAGTTTCCTTCACCCAGACCCCCACCCCTCCTCCCCACCTTCAAGAAGAATACAAAGGGTGCATAAGCCGAACCAACCAGAGCGCCGGTCAAAGTTAACCGTTCCAGGCTGAACCCTATGCCCACGCTAACCCCACTCCAAGCGGCCTACGAGGCGGCGGCGGGCGGGCACCGAGTGGGCAGCGGGGCAGCCTCGGCCCCTGTGAGCAAGGAGGCCTAGCGCTTCGGCGGGCCGGCGGCTAGGCCCCACTGGCCGGTCCCCGGGCTTAGCGCAGCCCCTTCCCCACGGCGCAGGATGTTTTCGGCCCTTCGCGCTACCTGGGACGCGAGGCTCACTCCCCGGGGGCTGCGATGGCGAGGGGGGCGTTTGGGGACGCAGACGGAAGGGTGCGGGGCCGGCGGCGGGGAAGGGCCTCCCGAGGAGAATGGGGAGATGGGAAAGGCGGGGGAGGAATGGGGCCTAACGGGATGCAGAGCGGAGAAGTGGGCTGGGGACCCCGGGGGAAGCAAGGAAACCGGCCCCGGCCGAAGGGGTGGGGCAAAGCCTACAGCCAGGGCCCAGCACAGCGGAGGGGGAGCCCCGAGGGCGGCAAGGATTTCGGCCTCACCTAAAGTCCTTGTCGCTGGATGTCATTTTCTCCAGCAAATTGGAAATATGGTACGAGGCGCTCGCCATGTTGACGGCCGCGATCCCGCCCGCTGGCGCTGCTGGTGCTGTTACCCGCCGCCGCTGCTGCTGGGGCTCCTCCTCTCGATTGCGGCGGCTCCCGCTTCCAGGGTCGCAGCGCGACGCCGACGCGGACTAGGGAGGCGCCTCAGTGGGCTGCCCCCTCCCCGGCGAGGCGAGGGCCTGTCTCGGGAAAAATGGAGGCTACGTTACCCGCCTAACGACGGCGCTGCTCGCGGGGAGAACGAGTTCATGGGCGGCAGAGCGATACGGCAGGGCCTCCCCAGGAAGCCAGACGCTTCAACTCAGGTTCTTCTCACTCGCACACCCTTCGCGCTCACTCCCTAGGGCAAATGGCCAAAGCCCGCCTCTTTCACTCCGGGGGCGGGCGTGGTAAACGCGACACGCTGCGGAGAACCCAGGTCAAAGTTCACGAAGAACCCCTCACGCAACTTTCGCGCTAGTTAAAAAGCGATCCTGATGGCTAATGCTGCTGTCAATCTTCGCGTGCATGGTTTAAGGAGGCAAGCCCAAGGCCAGAGGCGGTATTCTCGCGATAGTTCAGAGCGACGGTTAAAGGCACGGAGGCGAATGGCACAAGCACCCTTCACTAATGTGAATCGACTTGAATATTAATTTCTACAGAACATGAAGAGTTACAAGAATACTGATACTTTAGAACTATGGCAGGGGAGGGATGCTACCGAATGGTAGCCTAGGACCAACAAAATTGTTACAGGAAGCGTTCCTTTTCACTCCGACGCGTGGCCTACATTAGCCACCGTGCTATAATGTTGCCACGTGAAAACCACAAGTCCCAGAATTCAATCTGTAGTACACTAGGTCGAGATGTGATTGGCTGCAGAAACTTTTGGTTTCCTTATTGGTTCTCATGGAAGGCGTGAATGCTGGGATTTGCAGGCCAGCGGATGATAGTGTTGGATAAGACCTCTTTGATCTTCGTGTTTGAGGTTTCCGCTGCGGGTTTAGATTCCCCTAATGGCTGTTTTTGTGTGTGTTTTGTTAAAGGATTCTTGTACAATTAAGCAGCTGCGGCTTGGACAAGCGCAATTTGGATCCATGCATTTTGATGTTTTGGACAAAAGCCTAGCAATAATCCCCTAAAGTGACAATAACATCATGGAACCAGTTTTCTAAAACAAACGCGACCTTAGAAGAGTAATAAACCATCAACAAATAATTGGGGATGGGGGCGCTACTTGTTTCATGTAGAAGTTAAAAAAAACAAAACACAAAAAACCCATCTTACCTAGTGAACTTTTTGTTGGCTTGGTTGTTTTTTTAAAAAATGTTATTTTATACTGGTTTACTTAGAAAGTGTGCATACATTGCGTTTTACACTGGATCTTTCCGTTTCCTTTACCCACCCCTCCCTCCACCCATCAAATTGTGGGACCCTGTGATTAACATCCCCTATCCCTGCTTGCTGAAACTGAGGAGGACCTAAAGCACCTGCTGCAGAGTGTCAAGGACTGCAGGCTCCAATATGGATTGAGGCTCAATGTCAAGAAGACAAAGATTCTCACCACTGGACCAATTGGCAGCATCAGGATGGATGGTGAAGAGATTGAGATTGTACACAGCTTTAGTTTGCTTGGCTCCATAGTCAACAGTCTTGGCACCAGCAGCCAGGAAATTAAAAGGCGCATTGCCATGGGAAAGGCTACTATTAGGGTCCTCTCTACAGTACTGAAGAGCAATGGTGTCTCTCTGGAGACTAAGGTGCATCTGATAGAGGCCGTGGTCTTCTCAATCACTTGTTATGCATCAGAGAGTTGGACAGTGACTAAGGAGGATAGAAGGAGAATTGATGCCTTTGAGCTGTGGTGCTGGAGAAGAGTATTGAGAATACCATGGACTGCTAGGAAAACAAACAGATTTGTCCTGGAGAGGGTTAAACCAGGTGGCTCCTTGGAGGCAAGGATTCTGAGGCTCCATCTAACTTACTTTGGACATGTTGTGAGGAGAGACCGGTCCTTAGAGAGGGACATCATGCTTGGGAGGGTGGAGGGACGGCACAGGAGGGGAAGGCCCTCTATGAGGTGGATTGATTCAGTGACTGGGATAATCGGTATGGGAGTGTCAGAGACAGTGTGAATGGCACAGGACAGAGCAGAGTTTAGGGCTGTTGTACATAGGGTCGCTATGAGTCTCAAGTGACTCGACGACACATAACAACAACAGCAACAACAAAGGGCTCTGTAATAGGTAGTATGTACACACCCATTGAAGTATTGTCTGGATTCATAATAATAAATTTCTCCTCATTACTCTCATGTGTTCCATGTATCCTTTTATTTGTATAGTCTTTTCCTCTCCATTAATGCCACTGTTGTTATATGTTATCCAGTTGGAGCTGATTCATAGCTGACCCTCCCAAGGGTTTTCAGAGTGTGAAAATCACAGGAGTAGATTAGCGATCTTTCTCCCTCAGAGCAGCTTATAAGTTTAGACCACATACTTTTGGGGTGGCAGTGGTAGCACAGCTCCTTACACTAGGCCACTAGCTGTTATTGTTAGGTGCCTTCCAGTGGACTGCAACTCATAGTGACTCAGTGAACGATGGATCTAAACCTTGTCTTATCCTGTGCCATTTTCATCATCTCTGACACACTTGAGTGCATTGTTACAGTCACCAGGTGAATCAACTCATAGAGGGTCTTTCTCTCTGTGTATGGGTTTCTGGCCCATCAGCCTTTGTAAAGCATGATGTCCTTCCCCAAGGACTGACCCCTCCTAACAATATGCCCAAAATATATGAGATGAAGGTTTATCATCTTTGGCTCCAAAGAGTGCCCTGGCTGCACTTTCTTCACGGCATATTTGCTTGTTCTTTTGGAAGGCCATGGAATATTCAGTACTCATCTTCAACACCACAACTCAAAGGCATACAATTTGCTCCTTATTTTACCCAAGTCAGTCTTCATTATTTACTCTTTCACCAAGTGTTAAGTGCAGCAGACACAATTAATTTTGGCTTTGAACAATCCTTTCATAACATATAATGTAAATCATACTCATCAAGTATACAAGCTGTTATTGTTCAGTGTGGTCTGGTTTATTAGGATTCATAGCAACTCTGTACAGCTGATCAAACCTTGCCCTATCCTGCATCGTCCTCACAGCCTCTGCCATTCTCATGCCTCTTGCTGCAGTCACTGTGTCATTCCATCCTTTTGAGGGTCTTTCTGAAAACTCTACATTGCTGAGTGTATTGTCTTTCCAAGGACTGGCCACTCCTGATAACATGTCCAAAGTATAAGACAGTTTCGCCATCCTTGCCTCCAAGGTGTACACTACTTGCACTTCTCCAACACAAATTTGCTTCTTCTTTTGTCCATACATGGTATAGTTAATACTCATCATTAGCACACAGTTCAAAGTTACCAATTCTCCTTTGGTCTTCCTTATTCATTGTCCAACTTTCATAAGCATAAGAAGCAATTAAAAATACCATGCCTTGGATAAAGTACACATTTAGTCTTGAAACTGACATCCTTTCTTTAATGCTTTGAAGAGGTGGGGTTTTTTTTAAATTATTAATTAATTTTAATGAATGTTTACTGAGACTCAGGATTTCCAGTCCTGCCCACCCCCTCTCCCCAAATCACTCTTCTTGAAAAGAAAAAGAAAAATTCTTTTATTGTTGTGTCATCCCTCCCCCCACATTCACTCCAATATGCAGGCCTTCACTCTGGACTTCTGTAATGACAAGAATACCCATTCATCTGAATGTCGTCTTCGGTGAAGTGCCTGTTCATATCCTGTGCCCATTTTTCTATTGGATTCTTTACCTTTATCTTGTTGTGGTGCTCAAGTATTTCA